AGGATGCGGCTGGGGAGCCGCAGGGGCGAGTCAAACTGCGGAAATCCCGGGGGCGTAGGAGGTGAACATGTACGAAGGGGCGTGGAGGAGGCGCAATCACACCCAGGAAAGGTGCTTGGGCTCGAGGCCCCTCTCTCTGGCCCCCCTGATCGATTTGTTGCAGCCATTAGCGCCGGGAGAGAGTGGTGGTGCCTTGTGAGGCAGGCGGCGACACCTCCTGCTGTTCAGATATTGGCTGGGAGGGAGGTGGGGAGGGCACGTCCTGTCATCAATCACCTGCAAAACGCCACTTGGGCAAAAGCGAAAGCGGATACAACAAAGGGAAAATGTCGCGTAGTATGTGGCACGGACCCCTCAGTCTGTGGTGTCTTTAAAGTTTCATGGAAAAAATCAAGTGGTGCAAACGATTCTTTTTTTTAAACGCTTAAGTTGCCTTCGGGGCGAAATAAAATGTAAGCAGCGAGTCTCCTCGCATCGCAAAGATGTTGAAGGATATAAACCCTTTCATGCTCTTCACAAAGTAAGAGAAGATTCAACTGGTGTCCCTAAGACTTAGCTCTGGGCATGTTTGTGCAGTTGTTTCAATTTAAAAAGCAACTAGATCAATTTCACAAACAAATCTAGGAGAAAATGAATTTTGGCTGGTTGTGCAGTCTTGCAGACTTCTGTCTGTTTAGCCTGCAGCTTCCAGTAATACACTAAACAGCGTTTGTCATCTGCTTGCAGTCAGTCATGAGGGTTGTTTTTTGTGTGGTGTAAATCCTTTGTGTACAGAAAAAAGTCTTTTCTAAATTGTCACTAACTCAAGTCCTTTATTAAATGTTACCCCTTTTGATAAGAATTGCTGAATTCCTATACTTCTGGTGCTAAATTGTAGTTTTAATTGTGTATTTTGAGTTTTGTTACTAGAACAGTTTTGATTTACTGTAACTTGCCCTGATTAAATAGTCCTGATTCTACAGACTTTAGTCAAACACTGAAAAAATCAAGTTTAAGGGATCATGATATTATGGTATTGTATAAAATCTACCATTTTGAATTTGGTGACTGATTATATTTTATTTCTTTAATATAAATATTTAGGGCCTTGAAATGGATCATCAGGCAGCTTTGTAAGGATGACCCTACAGTAAAACATTTACATGTCTGTGTGTAATCATTAAGAACAAGCTGAGTTCACTTATCATTTTAAAATATGAGTTTCTGTTTAAATACTATCATTTTAGTTGAATAATTTCTAAGGGGAGTAGGAGGATCCCTGCTATGAATAATTAATGTAAATGTGATTTTAAAAAAAAAGCTGGTTAGGCTCCTGCACTGTAATAGAGTAATGCATCCTACTCAAGGGGAGAAGAGTATAAATACAATTTCGACGCTTGGGCCTAAAATCATTTTCTATCTTAATAATATATGGTCTTTAGAGGGCTTTAGAGACTAAGATTTATTATTGGCTGATAATGTTGAGCATATGTAGTTGGTTTGTCTTGGGTCCTTCATCTTTCTTTTGAAAAAAAAAAGGATAATTTAAATTCATAAATGATTCTACAATGGCAAGAATATGCATAATCCAGTAAATGTTTCTGAAGAGAACAATTTCTTAAATTTGTTCAATTAGGAAAGATTTCAACGCACTGGTTATTGGAGAGGAAATGTCAATCTAAGTGATTTGTACAGCTGATCCATATTCATATCCGCTTTTACTTATGGATATTTGTATCCATGCACTAATTTTTACACTGCATCGTTAAGATAAAACTTGAGAGAAATTTGCTATGAACAGTTTCTCAATTTTAATATCAAATTCAAGCATTGTAATTGCATCTTTTTTTTTACTTTCCAAGCAGAAATAAAAACAAGTAGTTCTTAAACTATGTTTTCCACTATTAGACTCTAAATTATGATTTCTGGTACAGAATAGTTGGTTCTAGTTTGAAAAGGAAACTGGTTTATCAGAGTAATTATGGTGACTTTGTGAATTACAATGTAGTAAAAGATAAGGTACAAATGAATAAAATGTTCATGAGTTACTGACTGGTCTTGAACAATCTTGCTCAATTTAATTGGGATCTATGCATGCTCACACACATGGGTGTGCTCTGACATAAGATTGCTGTAATAATGTTGTGAAATGGGAGCTTTTGCTTTGCATATCTCTTTAATGTTTACTGAGAATATTGAAATTCCCCCTAATTTTATGCTTTTGACTGAACATACTAATAGTAACATTTCTAAGTGCATTATTATCCTGATCTTATTTGCCAATACATTATTTGAAAACGAGAGGCTTCCATTTGAAAGGCATGCTGTAAAGAACGGAGTGCCTGTAGGTTATAAAACATAGAATGTTCCTAAAATAAATAAGTAACAATTAAATTTTTGTACTTACTGACAAATACTCACAATAGGTGGACTTTAGTGCTGAACTGTTTAGGTTTTCAACACTCTCAGCCAAATTTGTTTTAAATTTTAATGGAAATATTTGTAGTAATTTGAAGCCTAAATTATGTGTGTGAAACAACTTGTTGCTGCTGTTTAAATCAAGATGGTGTTTTATACCACAAGTACATAGTTCTTCCTTTTATTGCTGCAGGGGGTAGCCCAGTTAGTCTGTACAGGATAAACTTCAAAAACAACAAATAGTCTGGTAGCACTTTATAGAATAACAAAACATGTGGATGGTGGTATGAGCTTTCGTGGGCACATCTGAAGAAGTGGGCTGTGCCCACTAAAGCTCATGATACCATCTACATGTTTTGTTAGTCTGTACAGGACAAACTTAAACAACAAAGTCTGGTAGCACTTTATAGACTAACTTGGCTATCCCCTGCAGCAGTAAAAGGAAGAACTATGTACTTGTGGTATAAAGTGCTACCAGACTATTTGTTGTTTTTTAAGCTCTTCCTTTTACTGTCAGTGCTGTGCTTTTTAACTCCGGTTTATGGGTTGTGCATGAAGTATGTCAATGCTTCATTCATCTTTTCAGAAACAAATGTGTTATCTGGAAACAAAATGTAAGTTGAATGGCAATAGTTCTGCAGGAATTCACATTGTGTGCTAGTTAGAGGAGACACCAGCTGTCTTAAGTATAACATACTCATAGGCAAATAAATGATGTGTCTGTTTGGGAGAGGGATGACTTAGGGTGAAATTTATATCTAACAGGAGATGTGTTTTAATATTTTGTGATGTTAGTACAGCTCTTACGTCCTTTTTAGTTTCTCAGTGGGTTTGGCAGATGAATTGTGTTTTGTGGTTTCTCATCTATACCCCATATAAATTTTATATATGGTACTATTATGACTGTTCTCAATCATTCTTCTCTTCTATATCATTAAGTGTGTTGCCTCTGAAAGGAGTTATTTATCTTAAGCTTTTAAATCAAGGTTAATTTATGTTCATTATTTGTAGTGTGCAGATAATATTACTTACAACTATTCTGGAAGGGAACTAGTGTTATCTTAATGTAAGTAAGATTTCCCCCCCCCTTCTGAGCAGATTAGGTCTTTGTTCTTCTAGTGTTTCTCTATATACACAAAATATTCTTTCTTAATCAAATCTTAGCTAGAATATATGTAACAAGGGATTTCAGGCAAGTAGAAGTACAGAACACACTTTAAATTATTTATTTTTAAATTCTTTGAAGGGCTAACATTAAACAAAAAAATCAGCAGTGGTGCTCACTTTCTTTTATCTGGAGGATTTCCCTGTCAACTTGGGTTAGAATAACATATGCTTTATTGTGGTACCTCCAACAGATTAGGTGGTGGCTCTTATTAATGTGGGTGATTTTAGTTATTCTGAAAATAAAGCATATAAATGGTAGTGTCTTGAGTCTTTTTTATAGAGTGAGACCCAGGGTTTTTTTTTTAAAGAGACAGCCATTTTTGCCATTTTTTTGTAGTGGGTTTTGTGTTTTGGGCACACAATGAAGATGAGTCCACCAAGTTCAAAGTCATTTGTGATCTGGGCATAACTTAAACTTAGGTGTTCCTTGGTAGCTTGCTGTACTGTATCCCCCACCTGTGAAACTTTAAGCTACTGTCAGGTTTTTTTTTTCAATCTGATAAATTTAAGTGGTGGGAGGAATGATGTATTATTTTACTCTTTTAGATGTCAGTACAGGTTTATCTTTGGTTAGGTTTGTTGAGGAGAGTAACATATTAAGGGCAAAAATAATAATAATTTACTAATTGACAATTCTAGGATTTTGTTTATAATTAAAAGGGACGTTATATTGTTCTGGCTACAGGCATTTCTGAAACTGGAGTTTTTAGGCATGTAGGGTGTTGTCCAAATAAATGAAAATGTAGTGCTGATCTGTTGTCACTGCTATTGAAAATCTCCTTGACATAGTAACTTCAGATGACTTTTCTGCATCTTTGCTCCAGATGGCATATTGTTCCTTTAAACAAACTCATTTCAGGAGTGTTCTTCAATGAAAATGGCTTAATTTCAAAGGTTAAATGGCATCTAATATCTTACAAAATCATGCAAAATATTGTATTTAGAAATAGCCTGAAAAATCTCTTAAAAATGCATGAGCAAGATTGTTGAGTTCATTGATATTTGCAGGTTTTTTTCCATCTGAAGTAATCATTCTTGTGAACATTTCCCTGGTTATTTATTGATTCACAAACAAAAATTATGCAGGAAGAATTGGGAGTATAGGGCCTTTCATTTCAGATGTCATTGGTTCAAATCCAAGCAAAGATTAGTAGCAAAGAAAACTAAACTAGTTCAACTTTCCACATACCCACATCACAAACCACAGTCTCGAAATACACCTTTATTGGAAGTCTTGGCAGAGAGGCCTCTAATTGAATAGGTTTATAAAAAATGAATCTTTAACTCTAATTCAGGGTTGAGGCACATTGGTTTATGAGTTTGAAGGCTATAGCACTTTACCATGCTGTACCTTTTCTCATCCTTGTTATGAGTACTAAATTATTCAAAAATGGGATTTAACTTTCTTTCGCCTCACATTTATTTTGAATTCTTAAGAAATGCAGACTTCTGTTTTTATGTATATGTCCCTAGCAATTGTGGCAAATATGGAAAAGG